GCTCTTCCAGGCCCATGCAAGCTCCAGCCCTTTGAACTTGCTGCGTATCTGCAAGCAGAATGGAGCCAGCAGCTCCTTCGTAGGACCCAGGGCTTTTAACTGCCTTGGTTCCCTTTTCCTGCCCCAAAGAGCAAAACTGATGCAAAGCTTCAGCTTTCCGCCCGTTCTGAGATAGCGCTTCTGCCTGCTCACCCATCTCAGGTACGAGGCTCCCTATGAGGCATCCAGGCTTTGACAAGAACACCCTAAATACTTTTCTGCACAAAATCTGGCTGTAATTCAGGAGGAAACTGCCCAGAACCGAGTGTGATTGGGAAACAGGCACTTGCTAGAGCTTCCAGCTTGGCCAGGTCTCAGCAGCTTTCTGCAAGGCCCCTCTCCTGCCAAATTTCCAAGCCCTGCTGCAAACTACGTGAGGACCCAAAGTGTTGGTTTTTTGCAGCACTTCACAGTGTTTCGCTGCTGGCACACGCGAGGCCAGCCCGGCACTTGGACGGCTGCCACTCCTGGTAATTATTCATAGAAAGTGCCCTTTCTGTTACTTCCATCCTATTTGTTGTGGTTTTATATAAACGTGGCTTTCTCTGGGCACAAGGGAACACGTGCAAAAGCCTCAATATTTCCGCCAAAAGCAGGGTGCAGAGCGGGCTCCCCAGCAATGCTGCTGACACCCCCATTCCTGGCTGTTCCCTGGGGAAAACATTCCCTACGGGAAGCCCGTGTTTCCCAGCTGGACAGAGTAGCCTGGTAGTCCTGCATGGACAGCATTTTGGGAACGGGTCTTCGAGGCGGTCCAGCCCCCAGTCCTGGGTGCTGCTCCGCTGCGAAGGTTGCCCTGTGGGCAGGTAGCCCCTGCGGTGGCTTTGGGGCGCCCTGGGGCTCATGGCCTGGGCTGCGGTGATGGCAGCACAAGGTGATGCTGGGCTTGGGGCATCCAAGGGCCTTCCTGGGATTTTCTGCACCCAGGGAGCTTCTGCTGAGGAGAAGTGACCCTCAAGGCACCCAAGCCCTGCACGCTCCCCCTGCACCAGCAGGCATGGACGTGTCCTGGGGGCTCCTGCACCGAGGCTCCTCCTGGGCTTGGGTGCAAGGTTCCGATCCCCCTTGGAGAAAGCCGTGCTGGGCTCCGAGGCAGTCCAGAGCGCAGGGGATGCTCCTGGGCCCCCCTGCAGCGTGGCCACCTCGCAAGGGCTCTGCTGAACGCGTCTCTGCTTCGCTCCTAGATGGCCTCCCTCCAGTCGAGCCCGCTGACGCGCAAGGTGAAGCGCACGCTGCCCAGCCCGCCGCCCGAGGAGGCGCACGTGCCGCTGGCCAGCCAGGCGCACCCCCAGATTGCCCTGAAGGTGGTGGCGGGCTCCGCCGTGCAGGTCCCCAAGGCCAGCCTGCTCAAGGACATCGACCGTGACCTGAAGCTGGTGGAGCATGAGTCCACGAAGCTGCGCAAGAAGCAGGCCGAGCTCGACGAGGAGGAGAAGGAGATCGACGCCAAGCTGAAGTACTTGGAGCTGGGAATTACGCAGCGGAAGGAATCGCTGCTGAAGGACAGGAGCGGGAGGGACTACCCCTACCTGAGGTGCCTGGGGGAGAACAGGGACTACATGTCCGACAGCGAGCTCAACAACCTGCGCCTCTCGAGCTACGACAGCGGTGGGCTGCTTGCGCGGCCTGGCGCTGCCCCCCCCGGCCACTACGCGGACTTTGCTGGCGCGCCGTACACCTCGGCATCCTCCTACGGCGCCTACCCGT